GACAAGCTTAGTAAGTATGGCAGCTTGCCAAGCTATAGGGCTAATAGATGTATAGCTAAGTTAGTGTTGGCTTGCCTTAGAAGTGTGGTCAAGACAGTGGAACTGAAGGTCACACTGAAAGGAGTTCTGATGGAAAACCAACTATATCAAAGTAAGGAAATGCAATGATATGTGTCTGCTCTGTATAGGGATGTCATAGCATGCACCAGTCTAGGTCTAGGGAAGAGCATCATGAGGCGGCATGAGGTACTCTAGGTCTAATGGTCTCTAAATATGATTAGGAGGCTTTCTAGACCTAAGGTGATGTCATAGGCAGCATTCCAGGCTGCTCTAGATCTATGCTAGTTCTATGAGGGCAGATAGATGGCAGTATCATGTGTTGGCAAGTCAGGATCAAGGAAAATGTGTGGTAGCAGAGCAGGGACTGATGTCAGCAATATTAACTATAACATCACCTTTATTTATTTAAGCTGATTTTCATAGTGCATAGACCAATAATCTTCTGCATCACTTCTGCTGAAGTCATTGTCTATACATAATGATAGATAAAAGATAAACTTGGGATCAGAAAACAGTGAGTCTAGCTTGGAATAATCTTTATCAGGCAGTTTATAGAGTGATAGTGGCACAGCTATATATGCCATACTTTAATAAATACTTGACTAAGACTATTAGTATAAATATTTGGGAAAAGCATGTATAATTCAATGATAAGGTGTGTTCTGATAGAAAAACATATATCATTTAGCAGGCCACTGTTTCTTAGGCTGATTTTGATTCTGTTGTGATATCTACTTAACTAAGAGCACTTGTAATTAGCTTCTAAGAAACTTATTCAGTATTTCAATTGAACAAAAAATATTATGTTACAGATTTTGAACTTACATAGTCTAAGTCAAATAAATCATGACTTCAATAAATACTTTAAGACCATTTGTCATATCCTGTGTTCCGGACCTGGACCTATCACACAAACTATTTCCAAATTTCTGGATCTGGCTAACTTCTATCTTACATCTGCATCTGACCTGCATCTATGTATCTTCTGTGCCTTTTCCCTTTGTACATTCCTTCTCAAGTTAGACTATACTCATTTTTTATACCTCATTTTATTTCCACCTTTATTTTACTATGTTCTCATTTCTGTCTTCATTTACTATTTTCCAATAGACTAATGTTAGACATTTCTATATGTTCCGTCCATAGCCTCACATAGCTTCAGACTGCACTGACTTATTCTCCATTAAGTCCTCAGTAGTATATAAACTCTGTAGATTCTATGTAGTTCTTTAGTTTAAATATTATCTTAGACTCTGCTCATTCCCTCCTCTGTCTGACTTGAGTTTCTCCTCTCATCATCCTCTGCTAGTCTTAGGATCAACTCCTATAGATTTGACACCTCCGCCTCTACCTCTGGTAGTCCTTTGCTGTTTTCTTTCTAGTTTGGACATCATCCAGATTAGTCTTATCACTTGTTCCCAAATATCCGCTGGAATTCCCATGCATCAGACATCGGACTCCGGACATCGTCTGACAACCTTTGGACATCATTTGATAGCCTTTGGAAGTTAGGGGCACATACTCAGGTAAGGGGCATAGCGCATGAGCTAACGAGCTGAAGCCAAGCCCTTTAGATTCAACCCTTAAGCACATTCTTAACACCATTAGCATAAATATCTGAGAAAAGCATATAACTCAATGTCATGATATATTCTAATAAAAAGAACATGCATTCTTTAGTAGGTTTTCAACCTATACAATTTAATAGAAACATAAGACCTTCCAGTGGTTCATGGTAATAATAAGCACATAAAATTGGTACACCTAATATAACAATAGACACTAAGGAAATGACAAGTTTTGTAATATAGGACATCTTAACATACTGAAACATGTGAACCACAAGCTTGATTGTTCTAAAGGCAGCCAGAAGAAATGAGGGAACTAGGATAGAAAAGGGCTGCATGCATGCAGAACTTAGTCCAAACATGATCAAGTACTTCATTGGTGCCTCATACTCCAATCCAACTTGCCTTAGTGTCACTTAACTGATCTAACCATGTTTCAATGAATGTATCCTGCAATGGCACTTGAGAATCTCACATTAGCCATCTGCCTCTCAGGAAGTACAGATATGCACCAATAAATGCTAGCCAAAAGGCATCATATCCCTAAGTCCACAGTGGTGACTCTGAATCCACTTCAAATACCAGCCATGTCTCAATCTCCTTCAACAATGATATTCAATTTTCTTGATTGTAGGAGTTGAACACTGGTGGAAGTGGGAGAAGTAGAATGCTATCATCTGAAGAGAAAGCAACACTGCCATCAGCTATCTCTTGAAATAAATGCAGCTGTGTAATGATGTAGGTACTTGTATTTGCGACAAAACATGGACTCACATCATTTGAGGGTAGTGAATCTGCTTGCCAACTATCAGAATTCCTCACATCCATTGAGACAGTGTTTACAACTGGAGTAGTAAATACCCTGTACTCCTTGTCAATAATACTGATATTTGAGTGGGCTGCAACAAATAATTATGAAAATTTTGAGTTTGTTTTGAACAAAACAATAATGGGTCTCAAAGTTAAGATATAAAAGCAAAAAATATATCTAAAATGTGAAGGCTTCAAGCTGTATTAAATCTCCACTGGAATTGATCAAACTAGATAACATAATACAAAGTATAATCACAATAAGATCAATAACAATGAATGATGCCTCACACTTCAGCCCATGAACACATCCTGCAAGTGCTATGTACCAAATAACTAGACCTACAGTTAGCTTGATACCTTGAACTAGCCAAGACTGTTATCAAAGGACTTGATGAGTGGGATGATAGTAGTTCAGGTTCTTCATCTGAGTCTGGAGACTCAGATGTAGATATGTCGTCCATATCATCTGGCTCCTCCCTCACTGAGTCGCTTTTCTTAATATTGGTGTCCTCTACAACTGAGATACTGATGATGTTGTATAGTTTTATGGAATTTAGTAACATGATTAAAGCCTTGCACAATGAAGTCAAGAAGAGTCATATTCTCTTCATACATCTGAAATTGAGCTGTGTGCCACAGCTCCATCTGCTCGAGGAATGACTGGATTATCCTTATAAGTTTTGCCATAAACTTCGTGTAGATCCTCCTGTTTTTGAGCACCTTATTAATACAATCCTTAGTTACCCAGTTTGCTACAACAACTCAAATAACCCACAGTTACCTGTTCCTGTGCTACTTGCAATATTCCTAAATAGCATAGGTCATTACAGAGACAGTTTACAATTGTCAGCAGCATGTAATGATCACACTTCTTCAGTATTATGATGTTGTGATTCATTTTGACCCACTTTATGAGGATGATCAAATTGAGAGGGAGAGAGCAAACATGTAGGTTGAAGAGCAAACATGTCAGGAGTGGAGGGATGGGTTTCTCTATGTTGACAGCACACCAATTAACCTGTTTCAAAAGCCTGGATGGCATAGAGAGAGTTTTTATAACCAAAAATTAAATTACTTGCTATCAGCTCAGGTATGTCATGAATTATAATGAAAAAAAAAACTCACATCTTCCAAAGGTTGTAATCATGCCACACAACTTGCACATTATCGACTACATCATTGGTGTTCTCAGTAGCATATACAACTCTAATGTGTTTTTAAAGGCCCAAATTTTGCACTATCCTCAGACCTTTTGGGGCAGAAATGAAAGGATTTGGGCTGACACAGCCTATAGCTCTCATCTGTGGTGTATTGTACCCTTCAAGCGACCAGCAGCTGGCAGGTTGACCCATGATCAAAAAATGTTTAATTATCATTTGTTAAAGGTAGAATGAACCATTCTTGCCACATCAACTAACTCCAACATTTCCAGGTCCATGTTTGCTCTAAACATAGCTATGGTTCACTGAAGAGACACTTCCAGTCCTTTTGTGAACTGCAGATCCAAATCCAGACACAGCGAGACCTAGATAAAGCAAATATGTGGATGAGATGCTGTTTAATTATCCATAACTTGATCATCAAAATCAAGGAAAAACTCACTGTCAATGACTCATTTGAGCACTTTGCTCATGAAGTGAGACAGTGGGGTAGACATGAAGATGGTGGTAAGGAAGAAGGTAGTGAGAATGTTAAGGATGGTAAGGATGGTACTGGAGACAAGAGCTTCATTGGTTCAGAGGGGCAAAATTTTTGTGATACACTGATGAGCCACTTATTATGCAGATATGAATGAGTGATGCAACAAAAGTGAGGCTCAATTCAAATACATGTATACATCATTGGCTACAATGAAAAAAGCAGGCCTAGAATACAGTATGAATTTGTGAGAAATTGCATAGCAGGGATGAAAAATGCTGAATGATGCAAGACTGTCAGTTACCTTGATGAGACATCTTCCTCTCTAAAGCCAAATGCTCTAACTTCACTTGCTTGGGCTTGGTTTCCAATGTTCATCTGTCATAGCACAATCATGGTTCTGAGCTGCAGTAGTAGTCTGGAGCATATGTTCATGCTTGTCTCAATTTAGATGACCCTTAAGCTCCATACCAGCCAGTTAAGACTCTATCTTCAAGTGTTTGTGTTCAGCTTTGGCCACAGACAATTCCTAGATGTGCTTAATAAGGGTGCCTGATGCTTCATTTAGCTTTGCATTAAGGTCGGATACTGTATCACCCAGGCTTGCAAGAGACAGATCTGCTAGAGGTAGTTGATGAAGGATCAGAGTCCTGATCAAATGATGCATGTCCAAGATGATGAATGCCACTGGCTTTGCATGAATGCATTGTTAGGGTTTTCATCATCCAGCTTGTGGCTGCATCAGAGTCATCTGACAAGGGCTCTATCTATGTATCTTGATGGATGGTGGTCTTAGTGTTGAGGAAATGGTGCATGGCAAGGGAAATTTTTGCCCACCATCATCTGGTTCTAGAGAATTGAGAGAAATAGTAGGGCCTCGCTGTATTGTATTTTGATGTTGAGGGGAGATATGAATGTGCGTTAGTTATTAGATACTGGTAATTGAAAATTTGAGAAAGGCTGCACAATGACCAAGGAGTTGGATGATGATGCCTGCAGCTGAGGAAACTGCAGTGGTGAAGGACCAGATAAATCATTTTGATTGTCCCAGTCAGGCCAGTCCCAGTCTGGATTGTTATGATATGTGAAGGGGATGCCAGTATCGTCCATAGAAAAATCATTATGCTCACTCTGATTTATTTCTTCATCTACAATTTGGCCAGAATCCCCTCCTTTATTATTCTCAACATCTGCACAATCTCTATCATTCACATGGTCTTTGTCATCCATAGGTAGAGATATATCCTCTTTACCCTTGCCTTTCCAAAAGAGACCTGCAGCCTCAGCTGAAAAATCCTGGCCTGGATCAGCCATCAAAAATGAAGTGTTGTATGTGGGATTGGTTCTCCACCACCTGTGGAGATCAACCTACCATAGAAATGCCACCAAGAGCTAGTCTAGAGCATCTTTAGAGTGTGCACTGGCATCAGGAAAGAAAGTACAAACCAAGGATATTCTTCATCTTCTCATCTCCATTGATGGCTTCAAAAGACAGACCAGTATCAGTCTGGCCAAGCTGCACATTAATTTTGTTGTATTTTTTGTATAGCCTAAAGTAGCTAGGGCTGCACACTGTACTGTATATGGTAGATGGCCGTATACATGTAGTATCCATATGATATATGGCTAACCCATACACTGTACACGACATTGGTGGCAGACAAAGTAGATGTTATGGTACGGGGTATTATATGAACATATATGGTGGTGTATAGTATATATAGAATGCAAAAATCAACTACAAACAACCCAAATGAAGCCTCACCTTCACAAGCATCAATATCCTGATAGTCTTAGGCTTGAGACTTGCGCGCTGCAGTGAAACTGTGTTATGACCGCCCGAGAAAACTTGTTCAACAGCAATAGCAGATCCTACAAAGAAGAGAACTAAGTACAGACACCTGGGACATGGAGTAAGTACTTACCAGGTATTTTCGTTGACAGTTGCTGTACAAACTGTCTATTATGGTGACAGTGTGCAGCCCTAAAAGTAGCTAGTTAGTGGCCAGGTCGGCACTGAAGCACCATGATATTAGCTGTGGCTATAACCAAGACTCACAATATAAACCAGTGTAGGTATATAACACAGAGTGGGGCTATACAAAGATAGCTCCAAACTGATATCTTTATTTTTTGGTCTTGCACTGCCTGGTCTGCTATACTTGGTGAGACAAGTGTGTTCGACCCAGGGGTCTGCAGTTTTGGGGGTCAGTGAGTGATGTGGGGTCAATAATCTGAGCATGGGAAACAATGTCTGATGCAAAAGCATTGGGTCCAATGTTTTCGGATTATTGGGTTATCAGGTTTGTATTCAGAAAGTAATAGTGACGTGATAGTGAGCATCAGGAAAGTGAGTGATATGTGCAATAATAACAATGATAAATACAGACAGTGAAGGAACGATGATATTCGCAATGTCAACTAAGAACTCCAAAATATCGGGTTTGACCCCTAAGCATCAAAGAACAACTCTCCTTACTTGAATGATAATGATGCTATGGGGAGTCCAATATTTATGTAGATACATAGAATCTGGAACCCTATAGACAAAAGTACTAGCATAATATTTCAGATCCAATGTCCTATGTAATAAGACATGATGTACTGTGAACTATGGGAATATATGAAATGATGCGGTTGACAATGTTAGGGATGAGAAAACAAGTAACTACGCACCTAGTTGGGCTAGTACAATGAGACTGGACATAGGTAGGACAAGTGCACACAATATCTGGTAGGCCAATGCGAAACCCGATGCAATGTCCAATATTTTTGGGTTTGGTGCATATTAAGTCGGATATGATAGGAATTGATTTGGGTAATGATTAGCATGTCAACAGAAAATAGACCTCTATGAGGCCACAAGGACTCTAAGTCCTACACCATGAAAGTGTACACTTGAATCTGTTAGCTGGAATCATGAAGGGCATGAAGTTCAGTCAAGGAACAATGAGTAGCATGAATGTCCATGCTACATTTGGAGTCTTAACATGAGACCAAGAGGCAACTCAGGTTTATTGTGCAACAAGATGTATTGTGCAGCAAAGTACATGCTTCTCGAATATTGAATATGACTGAACATTATTTTAGCTTTGGCACAAAAAAAACACTACAAGTCCTCACAACCTACAGCCACACGAGCCCCTTCAGTGACAAATTCCGTATTATACGGGCCACCCGACCTACATAATATCCCATATGAGACAGGCCAGTGGATTATGGGCCCATGTTGTGTATATTCTCGATGATGACGGATGGGCTGGGACACATATTATTTCCAATGGAGACGGGTGGGCCCATATATGCCAATGATATATATATCCTTGATGTTGAGGGATGGGCCGGGGGAATGTGATCATTCATGGAGATGAGTGGGTCCATCTGGGTGATATGTAGAGTAGGATATTATAGACAGCTGGGCTGAAGAGAGATGTAAGGCAAATATTGTTATATAGATGGGCGGGCCAACAGGGGTGTACTACATATATGGGTGGGCTGAGGTAGGGAAATATTACATAGATGGGTGGGCTGACGTGGGGTGTATTATATATACAGGTGAGCCAACATGGAAAGTATTACATATACGAGTGGGCTGACAAAAGGGATATCAAATAGACGGGTGGGCTGAGGGTGCGATAAAATATTTATTACATAGACAGGTGGGCCGAGGTGGGGTATAATTATATAGACGGGTGGGCCGATGTCGGATGTATTATATAGATGGGTGGGCCAACATAGGATGTATTACATAGACGGGTGGGCTGACATGGGGGAATTGTACATAGATGGGTACATATATGGGTGAGCCTAGATACATTTCATCAAGACATACAGCTGATGTAGCCACCAGCAAATCAAAGATGTAGGATACATGTACACTATGAGTGCATATACCTACCATCAACCACTGAATCTAAAGCCCTCCATGTTTCGGGAGTGCCGAGTCCTGAAACCCAGAGTTCCGAAACCCGGAAATCAAAACTCAGGACTTGACATTTGATGAGACATCTTTCAAAAATGTTTAAATCAACCTTTCATATATCCATACACATTTTACCAACCCCTGAACCCCAAAATTGTGGACTGCCGGGTTTCGGGGTTCAGGGGTCCTGGAACTCGGAACTTGGGAAATTTGGGAAGATCAATAAAATTTGATTTACAATCAAGTTGATTGACAAACACATTGACTTATCCATGTTTGAAATATATTTTTGTTGTCTCACATACCAAGTTCTGAGTTCTGGGACCCCAAAACCCCAAAACCTGAAACCCAGCAGTCCACAATTTTGGGGTTTGGGGGTTGGTAAAATGTGTATGAATATATGAAAGGTTGATTTAAACATTTTTGAAAGATGTCTCATCAAATGTCAAGTCCCGGGTTTTGAATTCCAGGTTTCGGAACTCCAGGTTTCGGGACTCCGGGCTTTGGGACTTGGCACTCCCAAAACCCAGAAATCAAAACTCGGGACTTGACATTTGATATGCAACATCTTTCAAAAATGTTTAAATCAACCTTCCATATATCCATACACATTTTACCAACCCCTGAACCCCAAAATTGTGGACTGCCGGGTTTCGGGGTTCAGGGGTCCCGGAACTCAGAACTCAGGATGTGAGACAACAAAAATATATATAGGCAAATGATGAAAAATGAAAGTTGTTATTACACTTAACTTCCTTACCGAAGGTTGTAGTCCGAGTTTAGGGGAGTGTATTGGTAGTCTTTTCTTGTCCATCAGTTATCATTTGACCGAGATATAAGCTAAAGAGATCTGAAACATTGGCGATAATGAAAAATGAAAGTTATTATTATGTTTAAGTTCCTGAACAAAAGTTGTAGTCCGAGCCAAGGTGAGTGTATTGGTAGTTTTTTCTTGTCAATTGGTTATCTCGTTACTCGGTACTTGGTATAAGAGAATCAGTACTCAGTATTTGGTTCTGATACCTGATACCTGAGAATCAGTAGTTGGGTACTCAGTACTCGGTTCTGATGCTTGGTACCCGAGAATCAGTAGTCAGGTACTTGGTACTTGATTCTGATTCTTGGTACCTGGGAATCGATAGTTGGGTACTCCAGCCAATAGTCCCGAGTCCCGAGTACTGATACTTGGTATTCGGTAGTCAGGTTTGGAACTTGGGTCTTGGTTTGGTTGTCATTTGACCGAGATATTGGTAGGCAATATTGGCACTCGGAGCTCGAATACTGACTATCAACTATCAAGTGTCGGGACTTGGTAATCAGTAGTTGAGACTTGGTGCTTAAATGGATATTGCATATATACATAAAATACAAAATATGCTCCTATGTGTTCATTTCTAGGTGAATAGACTTTGAAATTATATCTCAATCATCTATTCAACAATAGAAACAATGTATCAGGAGCTCAGGACCATAGGGTAATCCTTTATTGTATAGTGTACCTCCCCCTCTTCTGGTGGTTCACCTGCTGGAGTTTTTTCCCTGTAGGACTGGACCTCAAGGACTGTAGGGAGTCTATTCCTGAGCATATTCAGAGTAGATATATCATATAGCCAGCCCAGAACACACAGGATCCTTCTCCAAGAACAAAGCATAGACAATTGCACGTTTGACATTTTTTCACAATTTTCAGTATCTTGCCCTTGCATCCATGATCCAATCTTTTAATATATAATGAGCATAGCTTATATTCTTGCTTCTTATGACCAAGATCAGCTCACAATAGGCTGGAGTTTATGAGCTAGTGTGTATACTTGCCATTTCGCCTGATAAGGGGCCCATGCCTTCAAAATATTGAATCTTCATAATCAGAAACCTGGGGTACATTTCAAATATCTTAAGTATCATAGACATAAATTTACAGACAAATCAACCAAGAATTGAGTACTGAGGAAGTGAAATGGGTAAGAAATTGAGTGTGGGAAACTTCAAAGACCCAAAGCATCGAAAATGGTTAGTTGAGCAGTGGTAGGACTTTAATGCTGGGTCAACTCCAGGCTCCTTCCCAGCCCCACGGTTCGAGTGTGGAGGGGCGATATCTGATGGCATTGTCGGTACTGTTTCATAAGTCACATGATACAAGAAAAATTCAAACCCAGCACAACCTTATTCCCCCTCACACTCTCACCGGGGGCTGGAAGATAACATTTGTAAACAAAGGTCAGCCACAGTGACGGTGACCGTGAAACTTCGAAAATATGAGTTTGCACCTAGCGTAGGGTTACAAAATTTCGAATATGATATGTATTTTTTATCCCTGGCTATTGTTACACCCGTTGTTATACAGATGACAGCTCCTAATCTGCGTGAGACTCCTGCATTATCTGAAATCTATCTAAAGACCCAGGAGAAATTCGGTGTCCGCCCTTGTCTGTGGCAGCTGAAAGTAGCACATGCTCTCCTCAAAGGCGACCAGGATGTCCTATGCATTGCAGGCACAGGGATGGGTAAGATTCTTGGCTTCTGGATTCCGTTGCTGTTTCGCATCAATAGCATCCAGCTCGTCGTCACTCCACTGAACCTACTGGGAAAACAAAATGCATTATCTCTTGCGAAGGCCGGCATCCGGGCCATTGCTATCAATGCAGAAACTGCTAGCACTGCAAACTTCTCGGTCCGTATTACTTTGAAATGCTACGAAATGTTACCACTCACATGATATTAGGCAATTAAAGCCTTAAAGTACCGCGCTGTTCCAGTCAGTCCTGAACAAATCATGAAACCAAATGGCGATTTTGAAAAGCTTCTGAAGGACCCATTGTTCGCTTCTTACCTTGTAGGTATCATCATTGATGAAGCCCACTGTATCACGGAATGGGGCGAGTTCCGTCCAGAATACCGAGAATTGGGCCGCATTCGTTACATCTTACCAGCAACTGTATCATATTCAAAATTTTGTAACCCTACGCTAGGTGCAAACTCATATTTTCGAAGTTTCACGGTCACCGTCACTGTGGCTGACCTTTGTTTACAAATGTTATCTTCCAGCCCCCGGTGAGAGTGTGAGGGGGAATAAGGTTGTGCTGGGTTTGAATTTTTCTTGTATCAT